GTAAGTGGGTAAATGCTACATTCCCAAACTTGTACTATGTTTCCATGGTAAGTGGGTAAATGCTTTTGATTCCCATGGTAAGTGGGTAAATACTACATTCCCAAACTTGTACATATGTTTCCCATGGTAAGTGGGTAAATGCTACATTCCCAAACTTGTACTATGTTTCCCATAGTAAGTGGGTAAATGCCTTTGTTTCCCATGGTAAGTGGGTAAATACTACATTCCCAAACTTGTACATATGTTTCCCATGGTAAGTGGGTAAATGCTACATTCCCAAACTTGTACCTGTTTCCCATGGTAAGTGGGTAAATGCTACATTCCCAAACTTGTACATATGTTTCCCATGGTAAGTGGGTAAATGCTACATCCCCAAACTTGTACATATGTTTCCCATGGTAAGTGGGTAAATGCTACATCCCCAAACTTGTACATATGTTTCCCATGGTAAGTGGGTAAATGCTACATTCCCAAACTTGTACCTGTTTCCCATGGTAGGTGGGTAAATGCTACATTCCCAAACTCGTACATATTTTCCATGGTAAGTGGGTATTAATACTACATCCCCAAACTTGTACCTATGTTTCCAATGGTAAGTAGGTAAATGCTACATTCCCAAACTTGTACCTATGTTTCCCATGGTAAGTGGGTAAATGCTACATTCCCAAACTTGTACCTATGTTTCCCATGGTAAGTGGGTAAATGCCTTTGTTTCCCATGGTAAGTGGGTAAATACTACATCCCCAAACTTGTACCTATGTTTCCCATGGTAAGTGGGTAAATACTACATCCCCAAACTTGTACCTATGTTTCCCATGGTAAGTGGGTAAATACTACATCCCCAAACTTGTACATGTTTCCCATGGTAAGTGGGTAAATACTACATTCCCAAACTTGTACCTGTTTCCCATGGTAAGTGGGTAAATACTACATTCCCAAACTTGTACCTATGTTTCCAATGGTAAGTAGGTAAATGCTACATTCCCAAACTTGTACCTATGTTTCCCATGGTAAGTGGGTAAATGCTACATTCCCAAACTTGTACCTATGTTTCCCATGGTAAGTGGGTAAATGCCTTTGTTTCCCATGGTAAGTGGGTAAATACTACATCCCCAAACTTGTACCTATGTTTCCCATGGTAAGTGGGTAAATAGCACATCCCCAAACTTGTACATGTTTCCCATGGTAAGTGGGTAAATGCAACATCCCTTTCCCATGGTAAGTGGGTAAATGCTACATCCCCAAACTTGTACATATGTTTCCCATGGTAAGTGGGTAAATACTACATCCCCAAACTTGTACCTATGTTTCCCATGGTAAGTGGGTAAATGCTACATTCCCAAACTTGTACATATTTTTTCCCATGGTAAGTGGGTAAATACTACATCCCCAAACTTGTACATATGTTTCCCATGGTAAGTGGGTAAATGCTACATTCCCAAACTTGTACATATGTTTCCCATGATAAGTGGGTAAATAC